GGTCCCTCAGTGTCACAATCGGATATTCTGTCTTGCATATGCAAATCTTGCCTTCTTGCTAAGGCTACAAACTCCTGAGCAGGAATGATGTCTTCTGTTTCTTTTATATGCCCTAGAAGGTCTAGAAACCCACCCACTGCCATGGAGTCAGATTCCACTCATAGCGACCCCTCCTTGGGTTTCCAAGGTGGTATCATTATGGAAGTAGATTGCCCAACCTTCCTTTTGAGGAGTGCCTGGTGGGTTTGAACTGCCAGCCTTCTGGTTAGCAGTCAAGTGCCTTAGGCACTATGCCACCAGAGCTCCTAGAAGGTCTAGAGGAGGGGGAAATGGCTGCTAACCTAAAAGTTGAAGGTTTAGGTCTACCCAGAAGTACCTCAGAAGAAAGGCCTGGTGATCTAAAACCACTGAAAACCCTATGGAGCACAGCTCTACTCTGATACACACAGGGTTTCCATAATCAGTCGACTCCACAGCAATTGTAGAGGGCCTAGGAAAGTGTGTGAAGAGGGCATGAGAAAAGTACCACATGCCACTTGACAGGTGGATTGGTGATTGGTCAAATCATCAGGGAGAGGAAAGGTGAGAACTGGAGAAGGAAGGACTGGCAGTCTGAGGGTGCAGGGTAAGTCAGAAGTCAGGGAAGACATGGATTCTGGTTCTACCTTTGTCTCTTAAGTGTGTTGGAAAGCCTTGAACAAGTCATGTCACCTCTCATGTAACAGACAAGAGATGGCTAAAGTCTTCTGCAAGGAGCTCTGGTGGCATAGTGTCTAAGGCATTTGACTGTTAACCAGAAGGCTGGTGGTTCAAACCCACCAGCCACTCTTCAGAAGGAAGGCTGGGCAATCTACTTCCGTAGTGATACTGCCTTGGAAACCCAAGGAGGGGTCACTATGAGTCAGGTCCGACTCGACAGCACATAACAACAACAACAGGAGGTGCAAGGTAGTAGGAAAGCAGATATTTCAGAACCACACTACCTGGCAGGTAAATTTCCCTCTAACCCTCCACAATGTGGAAGTGTGGTCCATAAGGGCAGTGTGCTGGAATGCCTGGAATTTTTGGAACCTTCTCAACAGGAGTGTGTGACAGACAGGAACCTGTTGTTGGAGGTGGCAAGATGAAGCCCAGTTGGCTGCACTCACACCCAGCAACATCAAAGCCTGGCCTGGACCAAGACTGCTTCTTATAGTAATACTTTTGCTACTCAGCTGTGTTCTTTCTAAGAAGTAATAACAACAACAGTCTCCACTTTTTGAATGCCTACTATGTGCCACAGGTGTTTTCCATACATTATCTCATGTAATTAATACCATAACTTTATGAGGTGGGTACCTTTTGTCAGATGAGAAAACTGAGGGTCACTGAGATTGAGTGACCCGCCTGAAATCACAGAGAGAAAGTAAAAGAGCTGGGATGTGAACATAGGTTTGTTTAGAGTCCACGCGATTAGCCATGGATGTAGTTCTAGGGAGATTTTGACAACACTCCCTTCCAGACAAGGAACCTGAGGCTCAGAGAAGTGAAATAACTACTCTATAATAGATAGATTACTGGGAAATGCCAAAGTCTGAAAATGACCTTGGACAGTTTAGTCCTGATGCATAATGCTCTCCAATAGTTGTTTTATTGATGAGGAAGCTGAGATGCAGAGAGAAAAAGCAAAGACTCCTGGAATGAGGCTTGGCAGAGGAGAGGAAGTCCTTGAGTGTGAGTGGGACCCTGCCAGAGGTATCCCTTAGCAGGATGGCAGTTGAGATATATCAGCTCTGGGCCCCCAGCCAGTCCTCACCCCAGACACTTGCAGGTGACATCAGAATGAAATGCATGCCACAAGCATCCCTGAAGGAGAGTGAAACACAAGAGCAAACTGCAGCCTGAGAGGTGAGTGTGGGAGGCCCAGAGAGCACTGGACAATTTTCCCCTACCAGTGAAGGTATGTTGTTGTTGTTATGTCCCGTCGAGTTGGACCCGACTCGGTTTCTGAGGCAGTATCACTACGGAAGTAGATTGCCTAACCTTCCTGCCGAGGAGTGATTGGTGGATTTGAACCGCCAGCCTTCTGGTTAGCAGTCAAGTGCCTTAGCCACTATGCTACCAGAGCTCCCTGGACAATTTTCCCCTACCACTGAAGGTATAGCATATGTCATTGCTTCTGCAGCACCACTTGCAAGAGCTATCTCATTATTCCTTCCTTGTCATCTTCAAAGTCACTGTCCAGATGTGAATCCTGCAGTAGCAGACAGGGCAGAGGGCAATGTGACCAATTCAGTGTCCCAGTGATATAAACCCTGTCTGTGCCCCTACACAACCTTCCAAAGGGCTGGAACCAGACTGGGGAACAGTCTGCCTCTTCTGTTCAGATGTGTAAGAAAGGGTCACCTGGTCTTAGAGAAGCAGAGAAATGAGCAGAGGCAAAGCTAGCAGGATAAGGAAAACAACACCCAGGCTCCCAGAGATGTAGCACTTTAGGTAGGGCAACTGCCCAAGTCTCTCTCCTACTAAACCAGGGCAATGTCCACACTTAGGGGACCAGTAAATTACACTGAACTGGAGAGAAGGGTAGGCTGAGGCCACTCTTAGGGACCCAGAGGAGCTCACACTAGTGCCCAAAGCAAACAGAAGAAAGGTAGAGCAAAACAGAGTATAGTCACCCCTCCTGCCTTGAGGGCTCCCCGGCTGTCCCTTTGCCCCCATATAGATCAGGCAGTCTGGCAGCTTCTGATTTTCTCTCTCTCACCACTCTCTTGTTTAGGAAAAGAAGATGGCAAGTTAGCACTTGTTCCCCAGCCTTACATATAAATGGTGGCAGCAAGCAAAGCTACCGCAAGGGGGAGGGGCTTGCCAGTGGAATGAAGGAGGGAATGCTAGAGTGACAGTGCTAGAAGGGACCTGGATATCATCTGGTCCAACCAATCTCTGGCCTCCACACCATTCTCATGATCTACATGCCCCTGTTCCAGTGGTCACCTCTCAAGAAATGCAAGGGTTCTCAAGACCACCTCTTCCAGGCTCCCACCACTAAGCAAATCCAACACTCTTATTTTCCAGATGAGGAAACCGGGGCCCACTGACAAGTGACTTGCCCAAAGTTAATCTCTGTTCCAAGAGAGAGCTGGGACAAGACACCCAGATGCCTCAGTTTGCTTGCACCATCCTACTCTTTCTACTCAATCCCTAGTGAAAGAAGGGGCTCAGCTGGGGATTAGGGAGGCAGTTGACAAAGCCCAACCCTCACCCCAGTTGATGTAGGGTACAATGTAAAGGTTCTAAGAAGTGAGTTATCTTCAGGGAGAGCCTGGTCACTGCCCCTTCCTCCTGGATTCCCTGAGAGCTCAGTGAAGCTAAGCTGGGTCCCAGCAGATTCTGCCTTGCAGAAAATTGGCTCTGAAAGTAGTAGCTAGCTGGGGCCTGGCATGGTCTCAGCCTGACCACAGTTCCACATTCCAAGAAAGCCCCCACCACCTTTCAAGAACTCTTTCCCTTTTTCTCTATGATGGGAGGAGAGAAGGTTCACAGTGGGTGAATGAAGTCAGGAGGCTGGTGGCACTGAGGCATTACTGGTGTGTGCTCCTTCAGCACACTTTGCCCCTATTTTTGACATACCTCTTCTCTTTCTTCTGCTCCCCCTACAGTTGGAGGGATGGGAAGGTCAGGAATGATCAGGACGACGTTTTGAAACTGTTTAAGGGAAGATTTGGAGGAGAACACTGTTTGCATACACAGTCATGGTTCTGTGGGTTCACTTTTGCCCTGTGTGCTGAACTCGGGAGCGTGGATACACGAAAACCCAGGTCTGTATGGGTAAGAGGGTTCAGTGGGCTGTGTCCGAGGCCTTAATTACTAGGGCATTTACTGTAGGCTGGCAGTTTTAGCAGGGTGCAGAAGGAAGGCTACTTCTCCTTGGTCCTCAAAGTAGACTCAGCTGGAGGAATGGAGATAGAGTCCTGAAGATGAAGGTGTGGTGGGGGTTAAGACTTAGGAGGGCTGCTCTCCGTGACAAGGTCCTATGGGGCTGTGTTCCGCGTGTCAGTGGAAATGCCTGAGTGCCCGTGAGTCCACGTCTGCCTCAGCCTCTCTGACACTTCACGTCCTCTTTGTTTCCTCGTGGGTGTGTGCGTGCAAACCTGCGCCGCACAGCCCTCCTCGCGTGCGAACGCGAGGGCGCACCCTCGATCCCCCACTCTTCCCGCGGGGAGAGAGGACGAGCCAGAGCTGGGTGCTGTTTGGTCTGGAGCCGAGTAGGGTTTGCATTGATCCATTGATTGTGCGCGGTCTGCGCCTGACCTCCTTGCTCCCGGGGAAGCCGTCTCCATGGAGATCGGGCCCGCTCCCCCAGCGCCGGATTGTAAATTCCTGCAGGCAGCGGCCCGGCAGCTTGGGGAGGGGGCCGCCGCGCCCGGGCGCGCAGGGGGAGCGGCCGCCGCGCCGAGGCCCCTTTGAAAGAAAAAGGGCACGAAAAAGGAGGTGGTGGAGGGGGAGGAGGAAGAAAACGAAAAGGAGCGAGGAGAGGAGGAGAAAGAGGAGGAGGAGGAGAAAGGCGAAGAAAAAGAGACGGAGCTTGAGAGACGGAGAAAGAGCAAGAGAGGAAGAAAGAGAGGCAGAAAGGGCGTGTTTCTGGCGCGGCGTTTCCCCTCCCCTTTCTCAGGTCCCTCTCTCGGGCTCTGCGCGCTCTCTGGGCTGCCCCTCTCTCCCGGCGAAGCTGGGAATTGGGTGGGATTAGACGGAGCAGCACGGGCCGCCACCGCTAGCAGAGCCCGTCTTGGAGAGGGCGGGGGTGCCCCTCCGTCCACGGTGCCGAGCGCCCCTCTCGCCTTGTCGCGCTCTCGGCTCGCTTTCCCCGCGTCTGGCCGGGAGGAGCCGGCAGCATCTGGAGCTTGCTGCCGAGGGCGCCGCGGTCCGCACCCCGCGCCCGCAGCCCACCGCCCTGCCCCGGCGGGGTGCCCCCTCCTCTTCCCTCTGCGGCGCTTGGGGGCCGGGTCGGCTTCCGTCCTTCCCTGGCTGCGAGACCTGCCTCAGCAGCCCAAAGCTCCAGCCATGGGCTCGGGGTGCGTGCCCGGGCTCTGCCTGCTGGTCCTGCTGGTCCACGCCCGCGCCGCCCAACACAGCAAAGCCGCGCAAGGTAAGGAAGGAGGGGCCCGCGGCCCTGGGTCTGCCGGGGCCGCGGGGCCCCCGGGTCGGGGCGCGATTTCCAAGGGGTAGGGCAGGTGCTGGGAAGCGGGCTGCTGTCAGGACCGGGTCCTGTGTTCCCGGACACCCTGTCTGGGGACCTGATCTCTGGGGGCCGCGCCTGGGGCGAGCGCCTGGAGGAGCCCGGGGCGGTACGGAGGAGTGAGAAGTTGGCGCGGTGGGCCGAAGTGACCATGCACCTTAGGATCCTGCCTGACTTCACTGCCACTTCAAGCTTCTTCGAAAGCCTTCTTTTCCTCCAAAGTCTGAGAGAGAGTCTCCTCTTAAACATTGCCAGAAACTTAAAGTTGTGAGCTGGAGAGACAGAGAAGGAAAACTTCTCAGCCATGCCATACATTTCTTCCTCGCACCCCCAATCCTTATGCAAAGTTAGACAGAAATTTCGAAGTTGCTGTCATATCAGTGGAAAAGTGTTAAAGAAAAAGAGGGCCTTTTTATGGAAAAACCAACTCATCTCTCACTGGATGGTTGGGGGCTGAAGAGAAGAAAAACTTCTGTGACTGGCTCCTGGCAAGAATGTTGTGTTTCTGCCTCTTTGGGGGAAATCTCTTTCGTCTCGCATGGCTTTCATTTCTTATCATAATATTTATTTATTAAGGCCTCGGGTTTCCAATTCCATTTAAATCCAGGTCAGAATTGCATTAAAATAACAAAGTAAAATTCCAGGCCGGGGAGCTTTGACAGATCCCTCTAGGAATTAAAGAGACAGGGAGGCCCTCCTGCCCCCATCCCTGACCCCAGGCTCATGGTCTTGCCAGTCCCAAAGCTAAGTAGTTTCATGTCATCAGCTGTGCTAGCAGAAACCATGCTAGTGTGAGGACAGTTCTCTTGGGGACAGCTTCCCCTCCCCCTTGACCTCTTGTTGCACCCCTCCCCCATCACATCCTTACTGATGAAGAGATTTATATGGTCAAAAAGAAAAGTCCTTCTGGCAAGGCTTTGCCCGGGAAGATATGATTCTGCCTATTGTCCTAGGGTCTTCTGAAACCAGGCTGGGTGAGATGGCTGGGCTAGAAGGGAAAGTTGAACTTGGGAGTTGTGGAAGCCCAAGTGTCTGGCAGTGAGGTCACTATGTCCTGAGCCAGAGCACTTGGCTCTTAAGCTGTTCCGGGGACTGGATGGGCTCCTGCTCTGTTAAAAGTAAGCTGCTGTATCAATGCCTTTTCAGCAACTCCCAAAACAGTGCCTCTCCAACCTGCCCATTTACAAAACTGGAGCCCTAGAGACCCTCACCTGTCAAAATACCAGACCCCACCCCCATGCCTTTCCAACCCCTAACTGCCCCTTCTCCTGTCCTGGTTCCAGACAGCTCACCACCCCTTCCATACCCAGCTGGGAGCTGCCCCTCTCCCCACTGTGGATTTGCTTGTGTTTTCATAAACAAAGCTGGCTTTTGTAGTGTGTGCTGACTTACTCATAACATGGAATTAGCTGGGGAGTTTAGTCTGAAAGAAGGAACAGATTTTGTGCAGTAATCTAGAGACAAGATAAGGGCCTCTTTCAAGTTGGAGCCAATGTCTATGGTGGCCTAGTGAGGGGGTGGGGTTGGAAGAGCTGCAGTGGATTCAAGGGGGTCCCAGGGACAGATGAAGAGCTCTAGAAGGGACAAGTGCTATCAAGCCAGGGATCTTAAGCCTGGGCGATTGGCCCATCATTCAGGGGCAGAAGGACTCAGAATTCCATCCCTCATTTACTGGACACCCTGCTGGGTGCTGTGGGAAATGCAGCTGAGAGTAGAGGCCCTTGCCCTCTAGGAACTTACAGACTAGTAGTTTTCTCCACTGCTCATCTCAGTTCACGGGTTAGCACTTGCTTGGACTGCTTTGTGATTAGCTTGGCATCTTTCTTCCTTCTGATCCCTGAGTCTAGCTTGGCTTAGAAATGAAGCTCCTTGTTTCAGCTACCTTTACCCTGCTGTTGAGGAAATCTATAACTGAGACTGCTGGAGATTGCCTAACAGCAAGTTTGCTGGGTTAGCGGGCTGTCTCTAGACCCAAATCTGTAGGTAAAGGCTGTGGGAAGGAGAGGTATTGACCTGGCAGGGCAACCTTACAACCTTACCCAAAGACAATGCTGCAGGCACCAGGGAGGCCTCCCTTGCCCCCAAAATAGGTCTCCCAGATATTACCAGTGCCAGGAAGTATGCCTTTGCTGTGGGATATCTTTAAAATGCAAATACCCTTCAAAAGTATCTTGCATGGGATTACTAATACTTCTGATATCTGGGTCTCAGTCCCTTTTCTCTGGAGAGTCCCACAGTGGAAGAACCTACTTTGTATGGAATGAAGAGGAAAGCAAGGAAGGGAGTGTAAAGGGGTGTGTGTGTGAGAGAGAAAGACCACGATCACCCCTGGGAGATTTAGCTGATGCTGAGTGTGAACGTGGATGTGTTCGTGCCTATGAGAACTGTGTGTGGCTGAGTGGTAGGTAACTTGTGTTACTGGGAGTGAATGAGCATGAGTGTACATGGTTTTGAGTGTTTTTCAAGTGTTTGTCTGTGTATTTTAAAGTAGACAGACTGGATAACCAAGATAATTGTTAACTTAAAAGCATTAATTTGCTTTGCTTTTTTTTGGGGGGGGGGGCTGGGAAAGGGGTGGCAGTGGTTAAAAAGACCTAATCCTTGGGTAGGGCTCAGGTTACAGCTGAATGAAAAGGTCCAGGGTGGGGGAGCAGGGAAATTTGCCCCCTGTCCCCTGGGGCAGGCTTCGGCAGAGTTATCCTGGCCATTTAGTTTACCTGGTTGTTTTCTCTCCTCGTTAGGGATAGAGTTTTGATAAAGTCATGTATTTAGAGTTTCCAAGTAACACCATCCCTGGGACTGAGAGCTTTCATCTGGTGGCAAACAGTGTCTCTCTGTCTCGGTGTGTCTCTCTGGGTCTCTGAGTGTATATATCTCTCTCTTTCTTTCCCCCACCCCTCTCTTCCTCTTTAATGTGGCTGTTTCCTCTCCTCCCCGCTTTCCTCGGCTCCTGTGGCCAGCTCTTACAGTGAGGGGACTGTTCCTCCTAGCCCCTCCCTCCAAAATATGAAATGAAAACCATAACCGTGTCAGCGGGTGAGGGTGGCCCCGTGGGCAGCCGGCTACTACCTATGCCTGGTCCAGGCCACACTGGAGAGAGAGACAGACAGACAGAGAAACGGAGAGAGACCCTCTCAGAGCCTGATCTTCAAGCAGTTCCTTCTAGCAGCCCCCCTCTATTTTTCCAGAAGGAGTGGAGAAGGAGGGGTGGACTGCTTAGAAATTCCTCCAGACTCCCTTTGACCTCTCTTGTCTCAATGACATGTTCCCTGGGGCTTGGGGAAAGCCTGTGGGGGTGGGTACAGAAACTTTTCCCTGCCCTCCACTCCCACCCCTCACCTCCTTGAGTCTCTTGCAGGGTGGAATGAGAGAGGGGCTGAAAGACCCTAGGCAGGACTGCTGAGGCCAGAATTAACTGCAGGCAGAGAAAGAAGAGAGTATCAGCAACCCCCAGATGAGATTGTTTTCTGAAGCCTTCAGGAATCTGAGAGCATGAGAACCGGTTTGAGATGTGAGCGGCTGGGACCTGTTGTAAAAGGAGCCGGCCCTGGGTGTGAGTTTGGGAATGTGAGGTGTGCATTCATGGGGTGTATGAGCGTGCGTGTGCATGACTGGGGCTGGGGCACACGCAGGGCTCCAGTAAGAGGGAGAAGGAAGCGGGGCAATGTGCGTTTTGTTTTACTTGGAGAAGTAAAGAAAAGTGGAATGGCTGGGTCCAATGCTTCAAATTGTGGGTGGGGGAAGGGAGTGGATGGTTTTAGATCCTTCTGAGATGATGTGAGTGGAAGAGCTTGCAGCCTGAAATTCCCTCCTCCCCAGCCCCTACTTCCAGACTCTGGTCCCTGCGTGTCAGGGTGTGGGCCTCCTTTGACGTCCCGTACCCCTAGCACATGACCGCTTACAAGAAAGAGTCCCTGTCAGGGCTGGAAACTGCAGAGCTGCTCTGAGACTGGCAGTGCCCGCAAGAGGCCCAGACCTGGGGACGGCTTCTCTAGGTTCAGAGAGAAGACAGGAGTCTGGAAACAGAGGGAAGGTGACTGCCAGGCCTTTGGGAGAACTGTGAGACTGCAGTCAACCTAACGATGTCTGGGGAGTGAAAGAGGGAGTCTGGGCTAATAGGCAACATAGACCCTCTTCCTCCCCCATTGGCCCCTCTATAACCAGAGTGGCCACTCTCCTTCTCCCATAGTTAAACAGTGCCAGCCCCAGATGGCACTAGAGTAGCTGTGGTGCCAGTGGGTTTAGTTAAATGCACTAAGGATTGGGGCCTCTAAGGAAACAATAGAAATTCTCTTTCTTACTTGTGAAGTGGCCTAGAGTATCAGTGGTCTAGGAGCTCTGGTGACATAATGGTTAATACATTTGGCTGCTAACTGAAAGCTCAGTGGTTCGAACCCACCAACTGCTCTGTGGGAGAAAGATGAGGCAGTCTGCTTCCATAAAGATTTACAGTCTTGGAAATCCTATGGGGTCAGTTCTACCCTGTGCTATAGGATTGCTATGAGTCACAGTTGACATGATAGCAGTGGGTTTGGTCTGGTTTGGTTTTCAGCTTGGAGATTCTGCACATTTCATTGAAATCCTTCCTGCTGAGGGTGGAAGGTGCTGTGGTAAGACGCAGTCCTGCAGCCTGGCCTCCCCAGTGACTGCCCCTGAATCTCAGGCCCTTTCTTCCTGGACCCTGCTTCACTTCTCCCTGCCTGTCTAGTCACTTAACTACACTTCCTTTCTTCCTCCAAGTTTCCTGGGGCCGCAAGTCCCAGATAGTTCTTACTGTGTCCTTAAGCAAGGCATGTGCCTCTGGAAATAGCCCCTGAAGAACAAATGTGTGGGTCTGAGTGTATGTAGCCAATGAAGTTAGGAAGTAGAGCTGAGATGTTGATGTTCTGGGAACTGGATACTCTCTGTGC